TCTGCAGTATTTGCTACTAAATTTTTTGGAGATGCCCAACCCCCTGAAGGGCTTTGAGAGGATAGGGGACTCTGCCGGCTAGGTGTCGCAGAGCGCCAGAGAGCGCTATGAAAGCGGCTTTTATGTGGTATATTCTGGGAATTGTATATGATTTGCAGAAATAGTAAAGCCAATTTAAGGCATTTGCGTTATCCATTTATTTGATTACACGTACTAGCGAATCCCCTAAACATTAACATTCTTTTTTACGCGCAGAGTAAAAATTAGGGATAGCAGAAAATACAATTCTGGAGACCCACTGAATTGCCCATCTGAGTGTAAAAGTACAACAGCGCGAAAAATTCTGACCACGATGACAACACTGTACCAGTGCAGACCACGCTCCAACCTTCACCTTCATTTCCCTCCCACCATTTTAATTTAATAACCGGTCTTTCTTCACGTAATTCTCACCCATCTGCCAGGCTCTCCAATTTCCATTTCTTTTCTTTTCTTCTCGGATCGGTCTTTGCGCTGATTTGTTAACAACTGCAGACCATGCGTTAATTGTTCGGTTTGTCGCTTGAAACCTGTAATTGTTGCTTTTGTATCGTTCGAGATTTGGTCGGCGTGGTCGTTTTTTGGGGTAATTTCGTTCTGGAATATTGATTTTGCCCATAAAATCAGCCACATAAAATCAGTAACGTTCGTGTCGGTCGAAAAGTCTTCCAGGAAACCAATTTTTAGTTGAGCAGAAAATTGTAGGTTAACATTTGTAAAGTCAAAAATGGACCACATTTTGCAGTAAGGAACCACTATATCTGGCTCATTTTAGAAACAACATATATGCCATTGGTTTTCCTATGCCGAAAGGTGCTTTTGCAGAAGCGTCAGAGATAGTGGTCCCTCATTGCAAAATGAAATTCAATTAATGCCTTAAAACTGAAAAGGCCTTGTAAAGAAATTATGGTTTCTTTGATAGAAATTCGTTATTTTTGTCAATTTGCTCGAGTGTGCAAATGATTCGGTTAAAAAAAAAAGAAAAAAAAGAAAGAAAAAAAACATTATTTACACAAATGGAAATGTGTTTGCTCCTCTTCTCGAACTGTATCAGTATATTCTCATGTTCGATACCATTTGAAAATGAAACTCTTTTGAACATAATGTGTATTCAATTCTAAGGAGAGACCGTGGTCTCAGCATTACACTTTCTTGACATCTATTTCTTTATTTGTTTTTCTTTTCCTTTTCTCTTCATTTCGCAATCTTTTCTTCAAATTTTGAGCCACTAACCGCACGCTACTTCATGCCTTATTATTCACCTCTTGTAAATGTCCTTTCTTAGCATGCTGCCGGTGCTTTATGTACATTGTTTATCTATTCATTTCCTTTTTAATTTCGTGAAATCTGCTTCAAGCAAGGGCCGTTTAAGCGTTTGTGCTGTTTAGATTCGAGGGTTGCAATACATAAATACACGTGAATGGATTCGCTTTTGCCCCCAGAGAGTGCCCCCAGGGAGCAGTCATTTTGGGTTTTTCAGTAGAATTCCTCTCGATCGAACCGTGTGGATGTTTCCTAACATTTTCATGCTGTAGTAGATGCACATATAACAGGTGGAATGAGTAAAAGGAGAGGGAAGAGGAGGAGGAAGAACGATAAGATAGTTAATTCACTTCGCTGAAAAAGAAAATAGAAAGTAAAACAAACGGCTCTCTTCGATTTAGTGATACCAGATCGCGTCCAATTATTGATAATAAAAGGCATCTTTTTTAAAAACTAAGTACATGCATCATTACTGCTTTCAAAACAGAGGCATCTGAGTGTGTACTATTCTACTAGATCGGGGCAAGGCTAAATAATCTGAGATCTAGAGAATCAGGGTTTTTTTTGTAAAAAATTGTTCGAAATCGGAAATGCGAAAATCAAGATCAGACACGCCCAAAAGGAAAATGTGCAAAATCTATGATCCGGCTCTGTTTCTGTAGAAACTTCTCAAATATTTCGAACAACTGTACTTAAAACCATTTATAATACTGGAAAAGTATAATTCATCCCTCAAATATCGTCGTTATATAGCTTTTGTGACGTTATTGATGTTGAAATATACCCGTGTCCATAAAAATAGTTCTCTCATCGTATACATCAAGCTCCGAGGCCTCCTAAATTGGCGTATCGTGTAACGTTTGATCCAGCGTTCTATCGGGCCGATTTTCATGATTTTTGCGGCTATCGACAGGCAGTTGTCTTTAATGAGCCCGCGTTATTTAGATTTTGAAAATATGACCCAGGTCTTTTTTTATATCAAGTGGTAAAGTTGCGAATTCTCCCATTTAAACAATGTAATTTTTTATTTTTTATCATAGTTCGTTTAAGCGTTCTACTGGGCCGATTTCCATGATTTTTGCGGTTATCAACAGGTGAAAGTCCGTACATGAGCCGACTGTAATCAGAATTTGAAAATAGGACCCAGGTTTTTTTGTATTAGAGAAGACCAGAAAGCTTCGAAATGGGGGAAAAATTTGAAATTCCCGCCAATGAAAAATGGTGGGAATTTCAAATTTAGCGGAAAATTGAAGTAAGCAGGAAATTTTGAATCGTGGTTTTTTAGTAGGGTAAGTGAATAGAAGGCATGCTCCTTTGCTACAGGCTATCCAAAAGCGACGAACCGCTCCGTTCCGTTTCGTGTAAGTCTTGGCATGAAGTTTGAAATGAATGCCGATTTTTTCATTCGACTCTTCTTGGTCCAATTGCTCCCGGCCAGAGAGAGATTGGACAGATGAAAGTCAAATTCGAGTATGAAAGTTTTTTTCATTTTTTTTGTCGTTCTTTTGTCGAAATGGGCCTAAGAGAAGGCAAAGCACCCTCTGGGGGTTGGGCCGCATAGCGGCCAGGGGGCATAACCCCCTAGTTATCAAGTGTGCGGTTGATCATAGATCGTGGGGCCGACCAACAAGACAACCTCAGCAGCAAGATCAATCAGTTGATAATCAGGCTGAGAAATAAAGAGGAATAGTGTTTCTCTCAATATCCGTTTCCACATATTATGTAAGAGAAACATGTGATTTTTACTTGCTCCTATAAAAAAGAGTATCGGATCATGGAGGGCAAATCTGTTTGATCCTTTCATCAAAACAGATAAGTCAATATTCGTATGAAGACTAATGCCAGATCAGCCAACCCAACAATATGTAGATCTCAATCAATACTTTTAAAACAATCTCACATGTCAACACAAAATATGGGACCAGTTGCAACTGGTGCGCGTGTAAAAATACGTGGTGCAAAATTAGGGCGAAAAATTTGAATGTTTGAGATCATTTACATCGATGGAGCAAAAAGATATTTTCAAAATCAAGAGAATGACATTTTACTTATACAAATGGTAATAATAAAGGAAGGGAGCGCATAAATGCATTATATCTAACCAAAATACATCATATCTATATTGGATTGCATTTTGCAAGAAGGAACCAGGAGCATGGCAATGTTGCTAAGATTGCGCAACTTCATTCATTGAAATATAACTATTGAAATCCTGAAAAAAATATGAAATTTATATGGTAAGTTTTGTCCTGAATTTTCAGTTTTGAGCAAGTAGAATAGAAACTGTTTATGGATAATCAGGTTTTTTTCCAAGACAAAATAAGCAGTATAGTCTTAGCAATATTTCAATGCTCCTGGTTCCTTTTTGCAAAATGCAATCCAATTGAAGTATATACTATTTGCTATCAATTTTAAGGGATCAATATTGACCGATAGCATCGATATTGTGCAAAGTGGGCACCCATTTATTTGAGTCACTATTCCGGCGGATGAATGCATTGCTGTCGCAACGTATAACGATAGCGCCTTGCGGATACAACTATTCGTGCTCTGTGGTTGTCCGCATTGCAGATGCGTCAAATTGAAGGCACTTTGGTATCCTATTCCTTTTCAGCAATGTAGAGCACCGCGCTGCGCTGTGTCTCGCGACTCGCCATCGCGCACCGCGCCATAGATTTATCCTTTCAAATCCGACATTACTACATTATATCTAGCCTTGAAAGTGTTTACCTATACATAACAGTTCACAATGCTAAATTTTAGCTATGTGCTATTTTTAGCTATTTTTTTTTTTTTTTTTTTTTTTTTTTTTTTTTTTTAATGTTAACCTCTTATAACTCAAACCCAAATATTTTGGCTGTCAATACTGTTATATGACTTAGAGCGTCCGTCTTCTGACAACAAAATTACATGTAATTCGATCTTCAAATAGCTTCTGTGAAAATATTAAGTTTTCATGTTCCCTATGATTATTAAATAGAACCCGTACACCTAATTTTATGATATCTGATGAACGGCATTCTTGAGACTTTGCTAGTATGAAATCATTTTCGGGACATTGTTGAGGAGAACGTTTTTGCGTCTATCGAGCACCTCCAGAGATGTCGGAATGGATATTTTAACAAAGCACTGCTACCAACGCTTATGTATTAGTTTCAAAATACACTGGAAATCGGAGATAAAACAAGTGGCAATTTAGTCCGTACAGAGTAAACACCTAATGTGACGACGTAAAAACCCTCTGCATCACTCGAATGGATAAAGCCAAATCGATTGGACTACATTTTGCAATTAGGAACTACTATTTCTGCCTCAGATTAAAAACAATTTACGTACCATCAGTTTTCATGTGCTCATAAGTGTGTTTATAGATGAGCCAGAAAATTTATGTAAAAAAGTCTCTGTATCAGCCTCCTGGCCCTCTACGACACCTAATCTCCACTGCCCCGTGTTGAAGAATAACCCTAATTGAGTTCCTAATTGCAAAATGTAGTTAAATGTATACTCGTCATAACACATTAGCGAAAGTTAATCGAGTTTAATCCATTTATTTTATTTGCTTGTATTTTTTGGCATACATTTAAGGGAACATAACCCCATAACCTCTTCACGAAGACTTCATATTGTGTTTTATAAATTTTCTGCAGATCGAGCGATAATTTATTACATTTTTGATATTCATCTTTTGTATGTTACAGGTTTCGAAGAAATAAATGTATGGAATCCCGCAAGAATCCATCATGAAGATTCGAAGATTAAAGAATATTTGACACTCAATGGACCGATAAAATTTAAATCCCCCGAATGATGGTCACGCGTGGAGTGACCTTCCGTGTCCGCATTAGATTTTTGTGCGTTTTTGTGTTCGAATACGCTATTTTGAGCGCATTCTCTTTGATCACCGATGACGGGAAAATAAACTATGACGTCACATCGACACATCACACGAAAAAAGAAATCGGAACTTCCCCCGCAGTAAACGAGACTGTTAGTCCAGGCTCCAATTCCAACATGTCGAAATTCGATGTAGCATCTAGGTCTTCTCGTGATGAAGTAACGATAAACGGAAGCACGTATTTTCCCGATGCAACTTTCCGTAATTTCAATGATTCTCGTCTTTCAAACCAAACCGATGGCAGTAAAATGACTGTGAACGTTTACAATTTAAGTGAAAATAAAATTTTTGAGCCGCAAAAATTGCCCTTGGACCGTCAATTAATCGTATTTTCAAACAGAACACAAGATAACAAGCGGAATATACTCCATAATAAAACACACCTGAATACATCAATAAATGATGCCGTTGACTCTAGTGAGAATTTTAAAGATAAGATGAAGCTACCACTGCCAGAACTGGATAGCGAGAAATTGAAAGATAGAGAGACCGCGCTAAAAATTAAAGCATTTCATCCTTTTTCCCCCGTAAATAAAAGCAGATTCAATTTTAATATTGATTCTAGCAAAGAAAGTGATAAGTTAGTACCAATCACGATAACGCAGTCTTCAAAGCGTTCTGATGATAATTTTAGCTTAAATAATGTCTCAGAGCAACGAATTAGTACGGAACCTAATAACATCACCGAACTATCCCACGAAAAGCCATCAAAAATTATTTCACCGATTGCAAAAGTACTCAGGACAGTGAATGTACAGTCAAACGATGATAGTCGACCAGTTAGTTTAGAGTCAAAATATGAGAAAAATCTGACCGATTTGGCGTCTATAAAATCGTCTAAAGTTCTGAATCTGAAGTTAGAGAATAATTTTATATCGTCCAATTCAAAGACAGACAGTGATATCCATCCAATCAAGGACCAACCTGAGGATCGGTTTAAATTGTTTGATTTGCAGCCGAAGTTCAATCTGAAACTTTCCGGCTCAGACCCAAAGAACGTTATCAAATTTTCCGAGCCTCACTTCAGAAACGACACCGAGTTGGCTGGTTTAAAGCCTAGAAGTCAGGTCGAGGATCCTAGTTTTTTAGAAAAACGTGATAATAATTCGATTGAGCTAGAGTCAGCTAGGACGCTCAACGTAACCTCCAGTGGAAACAGCACTCTCGATAAAATAACCAACCGTACAAAACTGGTGGGTCAACAAATCGACAGCGAGACTGACTCGATGACATTAAAGTTAAATGTAAGCCCGAATTTCGAGAACGAAACTTTCTCGAATGTCAGCCGAAGACGAGGCAAAGAGTTCATCTCAGAGGAGACCCTGATGGAGTCCCGAAACTACAACTACGACCCCGCGTACCCCTCCTACGCGCAACCCGTGAACCCAAGCGGCTCCGGCGAGGAGGCGTACCACCCGTTCGCGACCATCACTCGCGAGTCCGGGTGGTACCAGGACCCGACCTACCCCACGCTCACGACCGCCAAGACACCCCGCGCCCCGCAGTTCCCGGTACCACCCCACCGCTGGCGCCTGCCGCTCTGGTACCGCGGCCGCCTCCGCGGCTACCCCAAAGACGAGCCCTTCTACGACTACCTCGAGGACGAGGAGCTCCAGCGCTGGTCCCAGCCCACCGCCCCCGCCTCCAGCGTGAGCCCCATCCGCCCGGAGTTCCACCGGTACCACGAAGGCGGCGGCGGCTACGACTACAGCCCCTCCTACGACTTCGCGCACGTCCACGAGCACGGCGGCCACACCGAGACCACGAGCAAGTTCGATTTTTCAAAAATCGGGCTTCTCCTCTTGTTGAAGCTGGCCATCGCCAAGCTCAAAGCCCTCGGTGCGCTCCAGATCCTGTTGCTCCTCCTCCTCAAGGCCAAGCTCCTCTTGGCGATGATGGCCCTCAAGTTCTTCATGGTCCTCAAGGCGATGAAGCTGCTCAAGTACCTGATCGCGCCGCTGCTGTTCTCGTCGCTGTTGCCGCTGCTCATGATGATTCCGATGAGTCTGCTGTCGGCGCTGCTCCCGCTCCTGATGAACCTCAACCAGATGCAGCCGGATGATCCGGACCCGGTGGAAGACCTTCCGGATCCCCCGGATAATGAAGAGCCCGATGAAATGGGCGGAGATACGCCGGAATCTGGCACGAGGCGGAAGAGACGGAAGCATCATAGAAGTCGCGCCTTGGGCGAGATTCAAAGGCTTCTGCGCTCTGAGGATTGCCTCCAGAGGATGGCCTGCGAGCTGGCCGCCAAGAAACAGTTGGCCATCGTACCATTTATTGTTGCTTGGTGAGTGATTTTTACTTTCTCGCTCCCTTAGGGTAAAGAGGAAGTATTTTCATCCTCCAAGAAAAAAAAAAAAAAAAAAAAAGTTGAAATTTCATCATTTCTGGACGTTTTAAGGTCCCAGGAGTCAAAATAACCATACTTGAAAAAATGTGTGTCCGTCCGTCCAATGTCCCACAAATCTGTGTACAGCGATATCTCAGAGTCTATCTGTTCGATTTCATTCAAAATTGGCACAGAACACCATATCTATGGTCTCTTTATGCACGTCAAACGATTTTGGGGTACGCTAAAATTTGGGGGGGGGGGGCTAGGGTCAAATTGGGTTAAAGGTCCATTTTCAGCAAAATCACACGGAGAGCTCATTTTGAGGGACTGTAAATTTTGAAAAATACCTTTTTTTCAAATTCCAACACCGCAAAAAAATTTAAGTTGATTCAACATTCTGGATGTAAAAAAAGTGTGCAAGGACGTACTGAATGCAGAATTACCCGCTACACCAGTTACTTAAGCAATGCCAAGATGTAAAACTATAGCTGCCGTGGCGAGTATTTCAGCATTTTGTAAGTTTTTGCACTTTTTTTTACATCGAGAATGTTAAATCAACTTCACTTTTTTTTCGGTGAACCTTTTGAATCTCTGAATGCCGAGAGGGGATATGTCCCCAAGACAACATTTATAGGGGATACAAAAAATGTATACATGTTCTCAGAGTGAATACAAATTTTAAAAAGGGAGAATTTAGAGCGAATCCAGAACTAGAGGTATCGGTTTGGAATGATCCTGCGATACTTTTATTTTATATGGCACTGGCAGTCATTATAATTCGATGGATCTGTTCCTTTCTGGATTTAAAGAGGTTTGTAAAGGGTTTTTTGGGTAATCTCTCATGCATATGAGATTTCAAAAAAAAAAATGTTTTTCTTTTTTTACTGAAAGTACTGCGTAGAATATCAATAATTATTATTGCAAAAGATCTCTACCATGACAGATTCCTATGGAGAGTAGGCGTCGATCGATTCTTGGTGAGGCAGCTTGCCGCACCTAAAATCGATATTTTTAATGGGTTTAAATGAAGGATAACAGTGTTGCCAACTTGCAAAGGGGGCCAGTCGTGGGCAGCATTCCAGAAACTATGGGTGTATCCAATGCCAAAGAATGGAAATTCGTGCTTAATTAACGAAATCAATAGAAATAACTACAGCATTTTGGATACAGATTTATTTTTAAGTAATAAGGTGGAGAAATGGTGCTGGGTCCACACCATTTCGCGGGGAAATCAAAGCCAAGACCTTCCAAAAATTGTAATCGGAGTAAAACATTTTTGACCCTAAATAAAATTTTTGAACTGCTTGGCTTTGATTTCCCGCGAAATTGTATGGACTCAGCACCATTTCTCCACCTTGTTGTTACAAACAGTGCTCGGACCACTTCTAAGTGTGTTTTTTTCTCTCATTTATTTTTATGAGAATATTTTTACGAAGGCAACGCTGCTTTCGAATGCTGCTTTTTACACGATAAATTGCGAAAAGTGCGGGAGTACCGAGGGTTGCCCTGAAAAATTGTCTCCTTAACCTCGGCTTTTTCAATTTTCCAGACGAGATAACGTAACTCTATTTCAACGTTGGGAATTGTTCCATTTTTAAAAGGAAACTGCCCGGCATTTGCAAAAGAAAACTTCACTAATTTTTTTTTAATAAAACAAATAAATCGTTTGAGTCACTATACTTGGAATGGAAATACGTTCAATTGTCGGAGTAACAACGTATTGTATCACAGAACCCACTTATTAGAAAATTGATAAGAATTGCAAGGGGAAAAAAATAACTGCATCACAAGCCTCACCGACCGGGGTAAATGAAATATCATTAATATGGGTAGTGCTAAAAAAGGTCATTTTAAGTGCTCATTAAATAACTTCCTTTATCAGCTCATTAGATGGTCGAAAGAAAGGAAACAACAAAAGCAACTCACCGATATATGCCACCCCACTCAGTTGCGTTAATCTACGAATAAAGAGTCTCGCCGCTTTAAAATCAATTTAATTTTGTCCACCGTGAGAACCGTATTTTTCTCTTTCTTACTTGATATGTTCTTTTTTACATTTCAGGAGTTTGAAGAAGCTTGCCAACATGTTGCCAATTCCCATTGTGAAAGAGTACGCAAAAGCTTACACTAATGGCCGTCAGATGAATCGGTCTTCGTCAGGATGTTCCTCTAAATATAGATGCAATTACCTCAAGAAACGGAGTTGAACAGAGACATACATGGAATATGTTTTTCTTTGAGAAAGTAAATTATTTACGGGTGTGCAAAATTAATAAGTTCTCTGAAGGGTAGAGTATTGTCCTACGGCGGAATTGAAGTGACGTTTGTGTCAAATTTGTGCTAGTATTAATTTCAGGTTCATAAAGTACTCTATGTATATGAATTCCTGCATGGTTGCGATGGAAACACCAATTTTACTGAATGATTAAGGCATACAACTTTACTGAGTCTCACTCTGTTTGCTGAAGAAGACTGTCTCATTCTTATGCAGAATTATGATTCTGAGACAGAATTTATAGTCATTTTGTGATCTGAACATGGTAAACGTAGTCACCATAATTATTTTCTTTTTTTCTCTCTTATTTATTGATTGTAGCTTATAATCCTGGACTGGAGGGAATAGTAATTTGCCATTGAGACAACTTTAAGATACCTACACTTATTTGAGGTTATTTTTAACACATTCACGGCCAAAATCCCTTCCGCAATGAATGGATTTCCTTCTCAGATTTAAATTAATACTATATCGAAAAGTGCGTTACAGCTATTCTCGTGGACTTAATGACGGTCCTTGTGATGCAATTGAACCAGTGAGAACGAAAATACACCAACTCGGTAACTCAAAAATGCTCAATTTTCATTAAAGATAGTCAGTTTTCATAGAGGTCATTGAAGTTAACGCATCTGTTCCAACTTGGACTTTTAAAGTATCCTTCAGTACTTGTTTTTCGGCATCAAAAATCTTTTTCTTGAGCTAATTTCTTCAACTACTGTGCAGTTTTGCGTGTGTCCTGATTATTTTCATTTTTTCGAGTTGGTGTATTTTCGTTCTCACTGATTCAATTATAGTTTGCTTTTTACTTCTTCTTTGGAGTGAGGATTTAAATTTACATTAAATTTTAGATTTGCAAAGATTTCCTCCTATTAAATATCGAATTTCCCTATTGCATTACTTATCACATCATTATGATGTTTTGCACACGCCAAACGGATTTGAGTTAATGGTCCGTTTCACACCTTCACTAAATATTCCGGTCCCACTGATGTCAAAATATTGTGCGCTTCGACAAACCTCCTACACATTGTAATTTAAAAATAATCAATTTTTCACTGAGATGCCTCGGCCACTAAGAGTTTCATTGATCGTGAGAAAACATGTTAATTATAGTGCAGTAACGTTGCACAAAAAAGGATAATTATTCTTGAACGATGAAAAAAGTAAAATTTAGCAGAAACAAGGTTAGAAATGAAAAAGGTGCGTATTTCCATCGATCATACTTGAGGGGTTCGTGGTCTGTGCGTGTTGCAAACACAAAAAATGAAGGCACCCTGACATTGTCAGGCGTACAGCGCAGCGTGAAGATTTTCTCAGTTTATTTTTATTTTATACTAACGCCGAGATAAAATTAAGTTTTTAGATAACTTCCATAGTTTTTTTCCGACTAAAATAATATAATGGCAGGCAAGAGACAATTCTTACAGATCATAACTGACGGGAATCGAGATAACTGGTTTGAAAGATTCACCACCTATCTATATCCGTAGAATTTATGCTTCTAAAGGACTTCTAGGGGCTGTAGTTCTTACTTTGTCTCAGGTTTATTCTCAAGACAATTAAGATGCGACCAACCGTTCTTGTTATTTTTATCAACCGTACTAAGTTTAAGTCAAATCGATGAAAGTGTTTTAATGCATGGTCTAATTCTTAGGAATGTATAGTTAAGTAATTAATTGTTCCAGTTACGTTGAGAATAAAATTTCTTTATTTCAAATGAACAAATATCTGTGTGTTATTGAAATAGTTTTATCATTCTAACGTACCTCTGATGAGTAGTATAAATACGTTTACATAGAATCTACAATTTTCTCAAACCTTGAACACCTCAAAACTTCAGAAAAGTGTGGTTTACCCAAACTATTACGGTAGTGTATGCTGACTTGTATGATGACTTAATTTTGCTTTTGAATCAGAAATACCTTTGAATGCCTTACTTCAGAAGTACCTTTGAATCAGAAATTAAGAAAACTCAAACGTAATATATTAGACTTGAGGTTTTTACTTAGTTAATTAGGTAGTTAGTAGTTATTGTTCTTTGGATACCTTCGGCAACTTAGGCTTTTAAAATGCCGTTACAGAATTTATAAGGGTTGCTATTGGAGTCATAACTACAAATATTTGTATGTATAGCCTCCATAAATTGATCGTACCGTGGATTGCATTTATCAAACATCAACCACTTTGATGTGTAAAAAAAAAAAAAAAAAAATAGAAAGAAGAAAAAAACTTTTAAATTCTTCTATAAAGATTTTAAGAATGTAAACAAATAGCATTAGTTATGTACATAATTCAACTTTGAAATGACTTTTGATTGTTTTCATTTTTTTACAACTAAAAAAACATTTACTGAAATTATAAAATAAAGAAAAACCTAAGAAGCAAAACCATTTTAAAGACTGTCCGAAATTACAGAAAAATTTGTCAAACATGTCACGCATTCTCGTTCCTGATGAATCAGTTGTTTTACCATTGCAGTCAATAATTATTATTTTTTGTTTGTTTCTTTCATTCTTTCTTTCTTTCTTATTTTTTTTGAGAATTTTAGCGATTTCGCAAAAAGAAACGAGCCCCAATATTATTGCCAAGAACATTTGAAATCTTCCATTTAAATTTTTTCACAGTCATCGTGCTGAGGTTAGCCTTTTATTAGGAGTCCTGTTTTAATCAGAAGAGGGCGACCAAATTAATCAATGTCACATTTACTCTTGAACATTTCTGAAAATGTTGACTTTTCGGGACATCCAGAACAGGAAAATTCTGACAGGAAATAACTTTATGCCCACGTTATCCTGCAGGCTGCGACGAGTGCCTAAGGAGCTGTACATCAAGACATGTAATCCCGCCTGTGTCTGTCGGAGGACGAAATTTGGCGAAACTGAAGGATGGGTGTCACGCTAACACGGTGGCGATCGCAACTGAACTGCATCGTGCTCAAGTGGTCGATCCTGAACCTACTGTCATCCATGTCGGCCGAGCTTACTTTCGATAAAGACGAGAACGCCACGCTGGTTCCGTACCCACTCACGACGCAGAAAATTGTCACCGTCCTACCCGAAGTGGTAAAAAGTACCACTGATGGAGGCTTCAACGAGGGAGCAGATGTCAAAAACGGCACCGTGAAGGTATTTTTCACACTATTCAAATAGTTCCGATTAGAGTACCTTTGTAGGGAGATTACGGCACTGTCGGTAATTTTGAGGTTAGAGGGCTGGACACAAGTTCAAAGTGAAGCTTCGAAGTGGTGGCTGTTTAGCCAATAAGTGTTGCCATCGATTACCGCATCAATGCGCAACCCTTAACTAAACAGCTACCACTTTGAAGCTTCACTTTGAACGTGTGCCCGGTCCTTAGGTCATGGAACTTTTATGGCCCAAAATGGCAGCCAACCAATGAATTCAAGATATGCAAAGTGATGTATGATTACAATTGTTCGGACGTCGTTTTTAAAGCACGTATTTGACTTAATTTTTGCATACATTTACTCATTTTAGCGGAAGAATGCTCACTCAAGAACATTTTTGGCCATCTTGGATTGATATTGGAATCTGGAGATTGGCAGTGACGTTTTTTGTGTTAGAAGATTGGAAGTGACATTTTTTGTGTCAGGAGATTGACTACTCTCTTAGGCCCTTAGAGCTCCATTTTTCGATATATCTTTACTCTTCTCACGTAAGTATTCCAGTTACGATGGGACCAAAGGAGTACTTTGGAGAGAATGGTCACTGGAGGATTCACCCCTGATTGGCTCAGCTTGTGTCACACGATTAAACCTAGCCGTCCAATGGACGCGGTCACATTTCATCAGGATCTCGGAAGCTCAGTGGAGGGTCCTTTCATCTCTGATTACACTGATTAATTTGTGAATACCGCATAGTGAATCGAGTCAATTTTAGAGATCGGACAAAATTTGAAAACTTTAAACGCTTATAACTCCGTTTATACAAAACTTCGAGGTTCTAAAAGTGATTCCATATTGGTTTTCTCGTGAAATTCTTTACAACAGCACCCTTTAAAATATCAAACGTGACAGAATAAACATCAAAATTTTCAGTTTTAGCCAACAATTTCATGTTCGACCTCTTTAATAAACTCGATCCACTGTGTGCCGTTCTTCTAAAACACATTGTCTTTGATCGGCTCCTCCTGATTGGTCCTAAGCTCAAGCGGTTGTCACAGAAGCGCCTCGATGAAGAGATCCGAACTCGCGTTGCCGATGGGAAAGGTGGAAAAAACCCGAGGAAGAACCTGAAGATCATGCGGACAAATTCGACGCTACCAACCCTGCAGCGTTTGACGGCGGCGACGGTGGCGCGGCGCCGCGGGCACAAGAAGAAGCATTCGCAGAGGGGCAATTTGGTCAACTTCGTGCAGACGACCAAAGAACTCACTCTCTCCGGCGAGAATGAGTCTGAGTCACGGAGTTACAACTACGACCCTACTTACCCCGTCTACAACTACCAGGCTCCGACCGAGTCTGGTGAGGACATCATGTCTAACTTTGGCATGGTCAAGGTGAGAAATGCTTTTAGGTAAATATAGACAGTTTAGATATTATGGGGTAAAATTGTGGAGAAACTGTAAAAATCGAAAAATTAACGTGTAAATTTAGAGAAAAACGAGGTTGGAGAGAGTAGATTCAGCATCTTGATCAGTTTCATTTTAAAATCGAAGAGAGTTCTTTTTCCTCATTCCACCGGTTAAAAAGATAAGATCGATTCGTAAAAGAAGAATCGTTACTGTTACAATGCTCATAGTGGATCTCAGATTTCACTTCCTTTCCTAGTTTCAGTTACAATGTTACCTTTGCGGCATCAAATACTCTAATTCCGGTAACACTGCAGCATAATCAGCGGGACCGAATGAATTGTTGCCACAAACGTGACATTGAGACTACGACTAGAAAAGCGGGTGAGATCTGAAATCCATCGCTGAAATAATATGATTATTCTCGTTTGCAGGACATGTGGGGTGGATATCCTGAAAGCGATTTCCAGAGTCCGACATTTCCATCGTTGACGACAACCTACGCCCCGAAAATGGTGCACAGCTCATCGCCTCCTATCCCGGATTACTCGTTTCCGGATTGGAAACCACCTTTTCTTAATCCGCCGCGATTCCGACGACCTATGGGTAATTTAAACTAATTTTCATTAACTTTTCAGAGGTTACAAAAAAATTCTTGACTTGTCAATGGTTGAAGCTTTCACGTTAGTAATTATTTGATTCATAGCACGCTGCATTGTTTATCCCTGCAAATACATAATATAAAATATAAATAGTATAACATAAAATCGGCAACCAATTCCATAAAATCGTGTTTTTACTGATTTATATAGCCTTCCAAAAGTTTTATAATCTGCAAAATGGCCGGCGGACACCCAGAAGTTCCTTGGAGTCAAGAGAGGCTCTGATTATGAGTCTGGAGGGGCATCTGTCCTTTATAAGGGCAATGGGCAGCTTTTTTCAAGGTTGTGTTACATTCAGCGTTTTTAAGTATAATTTATAATTACATTTTACCTATTTGGTTGCTGTCGGCTTTTGGGAGATAATTAATTTTTAAAATTCATTTTTGTGTGTGTATATTTGTAGGTTTAGAAGAGCCTCCTGTTTACGTGGACTACGTTGATGACACTAGAGTTATAAATCTTGATGGTCTAGGCCGGTATTGGCCCCCCGGGCATCCGCCAATCCTCATACGGACGGGCTATCATAGGTTGGCAATATTTTTTCCACCACATTCATACCGTTAAGTAGAAATTGTTCAGGGAGAATCAAACTGTCGAGATCTATTTTAATTTTAAGAATAGACAAGGAAGTCACGCGTCACGGTAGACTCTCTCAGCCGAGCCAATACAGAGTACATTGCTCTATACTTTTTATCTAATATTAAATAATATAAACGTTTAGAGTTTGAAAATAGGAGTAAATTTATACTTCAACTTTTAACTCATCTAATTTCGACTAGAGAGCCCAAATTTATTATGTCCTCTTTCTACTCTTTTCAATCATCACTACAGAATTTTTGACTTGTTCAAACTTTGACATTCAATCAGCTAGAACGAACAATACTAATTTCCATTTCCTCTAGTTTGGAGTTCTTCAATTTATCGTATAGGTACTGTCCAAAATTAGACAGAAGTATGAAAATGGTGTGGAAGTTTCTTCAATAGGGACCTGCAATATCTAGAAATATCATAAACGAAACAAACAATAAATCCGAACTGGCGAAAATCGACATTGACTTTTGCTCTAGCTGTTTTAATTAATGGAATGTATGTTTTGCAGCATTTCATTCAATCAAACATACTTTACTTGCGCGCAATCGGTTTAGACCTCGTAAAGTGCTCGATAGTCTCCCTTTTTATCAGTATTCTAACTGTCGGATCCTTTTTTTCGACCAATGAAGGTACCAAGACGAAGATTCGATCGAGTACCACCAGTTCCGGGACCACGAAGAGCATCATGGAGGTTGGGATCTCTCAAAACTGGCCATGATCGTCCTCACCAAACTCGGCCTCTTCAAGTTGAAGTTGTTCGTTCTGCTCAAACTTGCTATATTGTTCTTCTTCAAAATGAAAGTGCTCCTCATGGCGTTGTTCCTCAAGCTCCTCATGCTCATGAAGGCCGCCAAGCTCCTCAAACTCCTCTTCGTGCCCTTCCTCATTATGTTCCTGGCGCCACTCATTGGTAATCCTTTATTTTTGCACATCTTACAATGAAAACAAATTTGGTCGTAAGTACGTAAGAAGTTCGGTGTTCCATATCATCCCAACTAATTCGGTTTGTCAAACCGAACTTGTGGGGTAAACTGATCTGAAGAACAAGGTTTGGTCATATCAGCCGAGCGTTTGATTACACAAATCGAAAGTTCAGTTTGACAAACCGGATATTTGGGTCGACATGGAACACCGAACGTTTGGTTAATGTGACCAATTTTTTTTCAGTTTCTAATAAAATATAACTTCAATGGTAGTGAAGAGAAAATAACAACGTAAGCCCTCTATGGCATGAATTAATTTTGGATCCTGGACTCTCGGGGACACAAATCTCTATAAAGCTTGCATAATAAACACAGAGTACTCGTTTTTAATAAATTTGTAAATTTTCGGGAATTAGTAATTCAAAGAAAGAAAAAAAAACAGGGCCGGATTTACCTACTTGCCACTTGTATTGAAAGATCAGTAAAAACCATCAAGTGAACGTGCCAGCGGGGAAGGGGTGCATAAGATGCGTTTACTCGTGTTGAACACATTTTTTGGGGATGCCCTGTCAACACTATTAGCAAAAGTTAATTTTTGTAAACCTATCTCTGTGTGGACACTGGACAAGGCCTTTCTTTCATAAGACATGAACGAAAAAATTATGGAAGAACAAACATGAATGTGGTTTAATGATTTTAACTTCCGCCGCCGCGCCGCGCCGCGCAGACCGCACCGTGTTTGGCGCAATGCGTGAAGTATTCACGCAGTCTTGTATGCGCCATGCGTTTCTCGCTGACCGCACTGTGTTTGGCGTAATGCGTGAAGTATTCAAGCATTCTTGTAGGCGCTATCCGTTTCACGCTGATCGCAATGACCGCACTGTGTTTGATGCAGTGCGTGAAGTATTCATGCAGTCTTGTAGGCGCTGATATGTGTTACATGCCGATCGCCGCGCCGATGGCTTCTCCTTTTCATCTCAAGTCCTCGTTATCATTGCTCTCTGTGCCGCGCGGTTCCAGGCCAAATTGCGTGTTTATAGTTTCTCTCTTAACTCGACTAGTTAAAGATGCTGTCTCTTGTATCACTGAAAGACGACAAAATTAAAAATTACTACACTCTTAGGAAATGAGAGATTTTGTCACCTTTTCTCGTTTGTAATTTTTTTTCTAAATCCGATATTTTTTTATACCTACATTTAAAAAAATTGCAAAATTTGCCGCCCTCTAGATTTTCCGCCATGGGCCGCGGCCCATGTGGCCACCGCCACCCCCTTAATCTGGCCCTGATGAATTGATAAATGATGCCATAGAGGAGAGAATCAATTTTTAAATACTCCAAAAATACGCTGTTACGAATAAGTAATACCATGCCATAGAGGGTAAACTCAGCTGACCAGTCGGAATGAAACCTAAGCTGCCGAGTGACATTACCTCACCTAATCTATCATACGTTCGGTGGTTTCAAGTGACCTAACTTAACCTCATCTAAGTTATATAATAAGTTAACTCAAAATGCCTATTTATGGCGGTAAGAAATAAAAACGAGGTGTAAATGCGGTCACATTTACTTTTAACTTCTTTACCTTATGGAGCTCCCGAAATATTGAATTTTCTCCCTCTGATGCAGCTTTACTACTGACGCCGTTGTTAGCACTGCTTCCTATGCTGCTCAATGCTATTCTGAACAATGTGACGGTGCCAGTGTTCGTTCCGAATGGCGACGAGGAGGAGCCCGAGATGCGGACGCCCGAAGACGATGACGTCAGCGAGTCCAGAGCCCCGCTCACGCCGGCCACCCTCCTTCAGTTCAAGATGATCCTGTCCTCGGAGGAGTGTTTGAAGCGGGTCGTCTGTGAGATGGCAGCCAGAAGGAAGCCGCCAATCAAATCTGTCGTCCTCGCCAGGTAATCAAAGTTCAATACCCGATGTCACACGATCGAATCGAGCCATCATACACTGAGAAAAAAATATGGTAGATCAAATCATACTCTGACACAGTGATATGAGTATGGTAATGAACACCAGACTCTATGATAGCATTTTCATATTGTGGTACGTGTTACCAGAGTTTTGGTGAATACTACATAATTCTGGTTATTTTCACTAAAAAGTATCACTGTGTAAGAAATCGAGTAGACTTATACTGCCGTGCTAAGGAAGAACGCCGTATGAGCATTTGAGAGTTGCCAAATTTCCTTTGAAAAAACATGAATTTTTGACAACATTCATGCATATTTTTCATTGAAATTTTCAGATATTTCGGATCAAATTGCGTACAAAATTTTCTGAAAATTTTGGAAAATACTATTCGCAATTTTTCCAGTAAATTAGGTCTTTATCGGAAAAAACTTGGCAACGCCTAAAGGTTCATACGGCGTTTTTCCTTAACACGGCAGTATAGTATATGTTACTATACTTCCTTAACAGTGTATCTTCAAGGTCAGGTGTTGTGATGGGCTTATTCAATGACTTGGAGCTATGAAAGCACTTATGATGATGTTTATTTTTTGAAAATTTTGTTTTACACGGTGTTTCTGTGAATTTATGCATGTTACGAGACTGCTCTGATGATAAGCAGCAAGTCAAAAAGGCCCTAAACTCAATAAAATATACTCTTTATACCTCTTCGATTTTTTTATTCGGTGGGAGGTACGCAGGACCACTTTGTATTTCGTCGTTACTCATTGATATGAATTTATTTACGTTCCCCAATAATGCGCAGAAAAATACATGTTTTCGCCAATGCTCTGATAGAACTTATTAAATACAAGTTTCCAGTTTCTAAAGCAGCACATTCTGCAAAGAACTTGGACCTTCATTTTCAAACAAATTGAAAGCTCCTTCAAAAAGATGTGATACATTTTAACATACTCGTGTGTTTGAACAGCCCCCGTAGACCTCAAGACTGAAGAAAGCGAGTGAATGTTATAAATGCAATCTGCAGTTGAACCTCATCAAATGATTTTGTCCAAGGGCCGAGTGTAAGATCTCTTGTCAACCTCTGGTCACCAAACCAGTGATCAGACTCTGACCAGCAGCCAATCTGCTAATCAGCTTAACTACTGGTTTGCGAGAAAGAGCAAAGGCTGACCGGGACTTGACCTGAAGAAAACAGGGAGCCATACACACCTTTACCTCTGGTCAAGCTCTGGCCAGCTCAAACCACCAATTTGACAAGCACCTGAACAGAGGTTTTACAATCGGCCCTAATCTTAGTTCTATTTTCTCATATGCTGGAATATTTAATTAAAAATGAAGCTCAAAAAAGGATTCTTAATCTACTTAATTATTCAAACTAGTTTTTTATTTTATATGCTATTCTCACAACTTTGAGAAGTTTATTGTTTAATGTATATGAAAGTAATTAGAAAACCTTGCAAAATTTTCACTCGCTTTGTTATCACGTGGAATTTAAAGGGAACGCAATGAAAATTTGACTTGATTTTCTACTGATTTCACGAAAATAGCAGCATATCATCGAAATTTCATACACATATTCATGTAAGAAATTGAATTGTTTGAGGCCATTTTGCAACTTTGGGTTGTGTTCATGTCCATTGTGTGGGAAATGATGACTTGCTGAAGGAAACTCACCTAATTACTTATCCCCTTGATTCTGCTCAAATGGGTTATGTGAGAGTAAACAATGTATTGATACAAGCACCTTTTTCATGGAATATCCAATCAACCTTACTACTTTTTCTTTTCTTCTTCAAGAAAATTTTCTCGTAGTATTCAAGAACCGTTCCTTTCTTTGGTTACAGGTTACTGGACCTTGTCGCTGCGGTGGTTCCATATCGGACGGTGAAAACATACGTGCAAGTTTACAAGTCAGGACTCTACGTGCAAGAGTCTCGGACCGAACCATGGTGCTCGTCGCAATATGCCTGTTCTCTTAAAAGCCAAACCTCGTGACACTCATGGGCTACATTTACCTCTGTTTGCCTTTTATAAGGGCAACCTTATTATTCACCTATTACATAAAAGCCCGTTTGCATCCCCAGAAACAATGTTTAAAAACCGTCACCTCGCGGTCAAAGTATCACAAGCACCATCAAGCGACGTTTAAACATTATCGTCGACATTTTATTTATTTATTTTTTTTTTACAAAAATTGTTTAAGGAAGCTGTCCGATAATTTCACTGAATTTTGTTTGTGCTGCCGATGTAATATCGTGAAATTTTCAAACAGATTCAACCAACAATTTATCGGTAGAAAAATAAAATGGCGGCGGAAATGTTTAAACTTGTGATACTTTGGCCGGAAGGTGACGAAATCATCCACAACGAGAATCTTATCAAACGAAAGCCAGTCAACATATTTTTCAGCCGACCATGAAAGCACATACCGAAAATATGTTTTTTTTTTTTCAAAAAAAGAAACAAACATTACATATTAATATTAAAGAGGTAATTATTTTTTTTTTAAATGATTAAGAAACTCGGGATACGCCCTATAAAAGGATGGTGACAGCGGGTATTAAATGAAATGATGCCAATTTAATGAATGGCTGTGGGAAGGCTGATGTTGTATGGTTAGGCGTCGCAGAGCGCTGTTTTATTTTTATTTTATTTTTCGGTCATGATAGTTAACTGGTAGAACATTACGGAGAAAACTGAAGCCATGTTTTTTCATTTGTACATTATGTAGAAAGTCCAATGTATATTGAAAAGTTATAACTAATTCCTTCTTTGGTTTCATAAAAATGGATCACTATCGTTTCAGTGCGTGAATTATAACCGAATAATTCCGACCATTTTTGATGATGCCTTATTCTTTAATTCTTTCAATGTTATTGAGGATAACTATAGTGTATATCTTTAAACAATTGTCCTTGTGTAATTACGTACTTTTGCATATAATTAAGTCTGAATAAATATCTTCTTTGGTCTGTTCTTTGTTTTTGAGCCGTAAAATTCGAAAAATCCTCTTTTGATGGAGTGAATTTAGTGAAAATATATTTGATCGAGTTTAAGATTTTAAACTTCTTCACATCTATTAAGTTAAAAATCTAAATTTTGTGTGATTTCGGTCATTTCTCACTAGTTCTGGGAAGATATTTAGAGCCTTAATGGCTAAATATCTCTAAAGAATAATAACTAACTATTCATTTGAGTTTTAGTATTTCATTAATAATTATAGGTATATTAGATTCACCGCAAACCTCATTGCGGTCAGAAATTGTCTCCGTGTATTATTGCTCATCATAACTCTTCGACTTCATGATTATACACTCGTATTGCATACCCGTACGTTTGAAGGCGAGTTCTATTCCATTCGTTATATATGTAAGAACATTCAGGAGCGAATTGGAAGATCAAAGACACTCTTCATTAGTTCACCATAGATCGATTTTGATTTTCGATTTTTTAAGGTGCGCGCTCTTCGAGAGAAAAGCAACACATCTTGGACCAAAAAACCGCAAATTATTTTAAAGTACCACTTTTAAATTCTTCAAAGAAGTTTCAGTTAGATAAAATGTCGTCGCCGAAAAAAATGACATTCTTTTTTCGAGAACTTGATATTTTTACACATGCCGAATGCTGTTTTTTTTTTCATGCTCTTACTTTCGTATATTCCTTGTCAAGTCCTGTATTAATAGCGTTCTCTTGGACAGATGTATTCGATTTCTATTATGATAAGTCGACAACTTGGATACAGATTTACAACGTTTTGAAAAACTCATTTCTTTGCCAAAATGCGCCTCTTGCTGTCGATGGACGCATTTTGTTTTTCACGCAAAAAATGATTCCTAGAGCATTAAAGAGTTGCACAATAAAACTCAGTGCACTCTAACAATGATTAAAAGGCCAAAAACGGGCTAAATAGGATATCTGTTCCATCAGACATTTTTGTCTAAATAATGATAAATGACCATTTATTTTTTTCTTTAAAAAAGAGAAAAAAATCTAACCGTTTTCGGTAATGAGGTTGAAAACGTTTGCTCTTGTAGTTTAATAAAATTCATGAATCCAGGCAGGAGGTTGTCGTATTTTTAATTTTATAATCTATGCGATGCGATATATTTTTTAGTCATATTCTTTGGTTTGACCTTGCCTTTGAACATCCAATATTTCGATAGCCTCTTGTTTCCCCCTTCTATTTAAAATTCTTTTGATCATTTCTATCCAATGTGTGAGAAACTGCCGCGTGATAGAAAAGTATATCTTCGTTGAATGAAAATAACTCGTTTGTAGTCCTTGAAAAAACTTAAGAATCAATTCAAATATTTTTTTGAAGTCCTGAGTCCTGAACCTGCGTCATTCATAGAATCAGTGGCAACGCTGGGGTTTCTTAGCATTTCTATGAACGCAAAAGATTTCAATAGTTGCAACAGTAAATTGAGCAATTAAGTTCGATCGTCTTTCTTTTCTTCTCCATCCTGCTCCTCTGGAGCTTTTTGGTTGCGTTAAAAGATTCTTTAGACTCACGCTGTGCTCCTGTGGCGTGGCGCGCTTTGCGATACATCGAATGATCTGCCATTTAAACCTATGGAAAAGGATAGATAAACAGGGTGTTCGCAACGAACACCTTAAAAATCGATTCTTTACCATATCTTCAACTGGGGAAATATCGATAATCGATCATTCACTCTTCGCCACCACTGTGCTCACTATGTTGTCGGTGATCAGACCATTCATGCACTATGAATATTCTGAATATCCGTGAGTTAAGTAAGCTTGCTTTACAGAGTCTCTTGCAGCAACTTGTCTCATCATAGAAACTTGCTATATTTACTTGTCTTGGCACATAATTATGGAAACAAATCAAAAGCTCTTAAAAGTTCTCTAACCAAAAGTAGGGTGTGATAATTTCATGTAGATGAAAGGACCTAACTGAGAAAATCTACTAGTTTAATTGAGTCCTTGCACGAGTTTTGAGGTGTTGATGTGTCATTAAAATTAAAATTAAGATTCAGTGTTCGAGCAATATGCCAAGTCAAACATATTTGCAATGAGCAAGGCTATTTATGAATAAAATAAAAAAAAAATGATTTACAAAGCCATAACCTTCCTTTCCTAAGCACAAACTAGTTGTTCAGGAGAGAAAAAATTTAATTCCTCTGCATTGAGTAGTTGTTTCCGAGAGAAATTTTCTCTCTCCCGAGCAACTAGTTGGTGCTTAAGAGAGGATTGTATCCGTTCCTAAGCGTTAGTTGCTCAGGAGAGAAAACATCTCTCTTTTAAGCACCAGCTAGTTGCTCAGGAGAGAAAACATTTCTTGGGGAGAAGCTTTGAATCAGGCACTGTGAAATATTTTTCGTCCGGTTGGGTTCAATACCGACTTGCAGCTTAGAGAACGGCAACTCTGTTGAAGGCAATCAATGAACTTAGCGTTCCAACTTTGCTGCGAACTTTTAACAGTACGTCAAGGTTTGCAGTACACAGTGGGTCGATTTTAAAGAAAAGCGATATAACACAACTCAACTAACTATAGAGGATTTTTTTAAAACTCACCCAGGATTTTGCCTATTTTAGTTCGCCATTTTTGTTCTTGTATACGAAATGCCTAAAAATACACTTTCAGATTAAAAACCTACCTTATCTCGCTGAAAGTTTCCATACATTTTGCATGTAATCAATGGGATCCAAAAAGTTACGCAAAGTTTAATCTCAGCGGCCATTCAAAAAAAATAGTAGAGATTTGATCCTAAGGATTTTTAAGGCAGGATATCACCATTTTCTTTAACCTTTTTGAGCACTTTTAATATGATCATTTTAACAACTGTTTTTTCTTATTATGAGATAACATGCATCCAAGATTTAATGTCTGTCTTGCTGTAGCCTTGATCATATGAGATGTCTAAAAACTAGTAGATATATTTTATTGATATCACTAGACTTGTCATATCAGTAGATATTCCACTGATATTACATATATTAAGGACTCTAATAATTTCAGTAGAAATTTTACTAATATCAGTAAAGATCCAACTGACATCCTCAGATTCTCTGTTGATACCTGACTTGATCATATCTGTTTCTACGTCATCTTCAGTGAAGCTACTAATGTAGAGCGAATGAGTTGATATACATTAATTACGCTCGGATATATCTAAACAAGAATGAACGACTAACAGAAGAGCCTAGAGCCTTGCGGTAGCTCTTTAAGCGCGTGAGTCCGAGGTGACGCTGTTGAATTATCAAATGACGCCGGTCAGTGTTATAAAAATCAACGTGACGTATATTCCCCCGTCCGAAATATAAAATTTCACGCACAATTTTGCAATGCTCATACTCACAGAGTACAATTAAGACGCCTAATAACCTAATAGGGAAACATCGCAACCGTTCACCTGATCAATGCTTGTCTTGTGCGCGCTCCACACACTATGTTGCAAAATCTAGTCGAACACACGTTTATTTTAATGACGGAGTTTGAATAAATGGGTGTTGTTTGACAATCTTGTTCACCGTTCAATGCGCTAGGTCGAACAGTGAAAGGCTGAGCAATGATGCACGATCGCGCTTCGTAGATTGTTCCAGATATGGCGTCAGTGTAAGGGATCTCGATAGTGATAAAAATTGATCACACCAGGTTAGACCTAACGGGAACATAACCTCTCTTGATGTCATCGATTGAAATCACTTTTTACCAGTAGGGTGGCTTAAGGTGGTATTAGTGTAGTTGTTTCTTAAACGGACATTTTCTTCAGAGAGACCTAGTTTGATTTACATTGTGATTAAGGAGGTTATTGATGTAGCATGGTAAAAATGACGGTTTTCACGAACTTCTAGTAAAGCCCAGCGGTATAACTTTGGAAATAGATCCTTGCCAGAATAAACACAATGATTTTCTACAACACAATATATAGCACACATTAAACAGACTTGTGTGGGTTTCGAACATTTTAATGTTGGTGCACATCTTTTTTAAAGTTATAACGATCATCAAATTGTTTATTTTATGTTTTGTAATTTTCGTGGCGTTATATCATTGCAATTCCTTCCAAAAATTATTTTTAAAGTATTTCAGTTGGATTTTACTTGAAGCACGTAAAAATTGCCTTTTGAATGATGCTTTTTCAAAGATCATCTAAATTACAATGTGAACCTTATTATGAGACCTCTCTGAGAGATGAAGCTGTGCGAGGAACAATATTATGAATACATGCCTCTGGTTGTTACGTTTTTCGATGTATATCACAATTCTTTCAATTTCAATGTAAACTGATTTATAATTTCATAATTGTTCACCATGTGTCATTAGATGATCACTCCCATGTCCTCAAACTGCATCCTTATATGCTTAGCCGTGGCCACTTTCGTGGGAGCTTCGATTGTGGCGACAAATTAAGACTTTACGTGTTTTTGTGGGCTTCCGAATCTAACGAAGCATTGTCGCCGTCTTTTTTATGATTTAAAAACTACAGAATCTTCACTTTCATATCAGTCCAACTGATCTCAAAATAATTATCTTATTAAATATCAATGCAGCACTGCGACTAGCTTTATATTTTGAGAGACTTAAACGCGCGGAGAGAAAAGTCAACTTTGTTAAGGTATAGATGTTGCTTCATGTTGAAACCTAAAAAAGCCATTTAAAATTGGTCATTTTTTGTCATCAATTTTATACGTGTGCCCATACTTGTGTACTCCTTATACGGTATTCCAAATTAAATTATTTTATTTCTGAACAATCTTCGTGGTCCATCGTTTTTGAAAGTACTATTACTTTACTCTCCAAGTAGGAAAGTTCAGCCGGAAAGTTCTTCAATTAATCTTATCATATTAAATATCAATGCAGCACTGTGACTAGTTTTATATTTTGAGAGACTTAAACGCGTGGAGAGAAAAGTCAACTTTTTTAAGGTGTAGATGTTGAAACCTAAAAAAGCCATTTAATATTGGCCATTTTTTGTCCTCGATTTTATACGTGTGTCCATAATTGTGCACTCCTTATATGGTACTCTAAATTAAACTATTTTATTTCTGAACAATCTTCGTGGTCCATCGTTTTTGAAAGTACCACTACTTTACTCTGCAAGTAGGAAAGTTTAGCCGGAAAGTTCTCCAACTTGGTCTTTATGAGACTCATGTCATCGACGCTTGGTTCGGCACGTGCAGACGGTGCGGTCACAGCAAAACTGTCGCTGGTGGTGCCGGCGGCCTGGAGTTCCCTCCTATCCACCGCCTGCGCTCAGACCAGTTCACCACTCAGTGGGGAGGATTGGGCATGACTCGGAAAGTTTAAAAGCTTAGGTATCAATGCGTAAGTTATGGTCTGTTTTTGCCTTTGCGAATCTCTAGCTGTCATACTTTATTCGATTCTTTAGAGGACCAGTGACAGTAATTTCTTGAAAACTTCCTCGATTTCTCTTCGCTGTCGGCAGAATATTCGATGTAAAAAAGTTGGCTCGTCTCTTCTTGAAAAAATCGAATAGCCCCGGAGATTTTGAAACATTACAATGCTGTACTGAGGGAAAACGGGGTATGTGCATTCGGGCGTTGCCAAATTTCTCCGGGTGAACCGTGTCCTTTGGAGGAAAGTAATATTTACAATCCCTTGTAATTTTCAGTTATGGTAGAATATTCCGGACAAAATTGTCTAAAAAAATTGAGGAAACAAAGGAAAAGATAAGAAGAAGAAGAACAGAGAAGAAGAAGATAAGAGAAGATAAAAAGAAGAAGAAAACAAGAAGAAGAGAAAAACAAGAAGAAGATAAGAAGAAGAAGAAAATAAGAAGGAGAAAATAAGAAGAAGAAAAAAACAAGGAGAAGATAAGAAGAAGAAAATGAGCAGAAGAAAAGAAGAAGAAGAATTGAAGACGTAAAGAGAGAAATAATAAGAATACAAGAAGAAGATAAGAAGAAGAATACAACTAGAAGAAGAGGATAGGAGAGGAGAAAAGAAAAAGAAGAATATGATAAAGAAGAAGAAGGAGAGAAGAAGAAGCAGCAGAAGAAGATGAAGAAGAAGAAGTAGGAGAGAAGACGAAGCAGAAGAAGAAGAGGAAGAAGAAGAAGAAGAGAAGAAGAAGCAGAAGAAGGAGGAGAAGAAGAAGGAGAAAAAAAAGAAGAAGGAGAGGAGAAGAAGCAGAAGACGAAGAAGAAGAAGATAAAGAAGAAGAAGAAGGAGAGAAGAAGAATAAGAAAAAGAAGAAGAAGAAAAGAAAAAGAAGAAAAGGAAAAGAAGGAGAAGGAGAAAAAAAGAAGAAGGAAACGAAAAGAAAAAGAAGACGAAAAATATAAGGAGGAGACGAAAAGAAGAAGGAGTAGAACATACCTTGAAATTTATGAAATGCATGGCGAAATAAACAGCATAATTTTGAGTTTGAGACAAAAACTTTTTGTCCGACTTCTGTGCATACCCGGTCCCACGGTGCGACGTCCTGCTAGGGAGAGCGCCGAGCCGGAGCGCCGTCCCCGGACGAGCCGTGAGCCCATAGTCCTTCGCTGCCAGCGCCGAGATAGTCTTCGCACGGACTCCCCATCTCGCCCACAAGTTTCGCGATTCAGCCCGCTTTTCCCGACCCCTGACCCAGTTTCCGCTTTTCCGATTTTCGCAAGTTTTCATCGCTGCCCCCCGCCTCCCCCGCGAGTGTTTGTGTGCATTTGGAGTTTCGTGAAGTGTTCTTCAGAGCGGTTTCATAGGGGTGAGTACAAGTTGATTTCCTTATAATTTACACCCAGAGAAAAACATATAAATCTCCTGTGCTATGCTGCCGTGCTAAGGAAAAACGCCGTATGAACCTTCTGGCGGTGCCAATTTTCCTTTGGTAAAACAATAATTTCCTGCATAACTTATAAATATTTTGCTCCTAATTTTTTAGCTGATGTTGTTCGCATTTTCACCCAAAGTTTCTGAAATTTTCAAAAAATAATATTCGTAACTTTCCTCAAAAATAAAAATTGTATTCAAGGCAACCCTCGAATGTTCATACGGCGTTTTTTCTTCGCACGGCAGAATGGAGGAACGCCGTATAAGTCATCAGGGGCTAACCAAACTCTCTTTGAGGAATCACAAATGTGAATATTTCCCATCCGATTTCCTCAGGCTCGTAATTTGATCTTAAAAATCTGACAATTTCGAGGGAAAATATTGATAACTTTTTTCAAAAATAAATCTTTTCTGAGAGGAAATTTGGCACGGCATGAATGAGGTACCGATCGAGACCAGTCGCAACGTACAATGAGGGGCATTTTTAAGGACAAGACAAATATGTGCAGTTTTTTACAAAATTGGGGAATCAATAATTTCAGCAAAAAACAATCATAAAGTACTCGTATTTTCTGTGAAATATTTACAAGTAAGATTAAATATTTAAGCATCGAAAGGTGATTTTGAATTTTCTTTCTGCCATGAGGCTTCGTGAAATTTCAAACTTTTAACATGTATTTCTTAAAATTTCAAAAACTACACCAGTGCACCTTGTCCTCCAAGCACTTCAAATACCTCTGCGAATGGGAGTATCCTTCGATCAAGATCTTTGGTTATTTTGAGGAAAGTTTAAGTGGTCGAATGAGAGCTCATAGGTTTTGGCAGCATTTAAGTAATCGGTTTGTGTTTGATTTGAAATGTGAAAAATTCTGCAGAAACCTCAGCATATTACTCGCTATTGTCCTACCACATATATGTACACACAACATTTACCGAGTATAAACAATACGCTTGAAAAAACCTTGGGTGATAACCATACCTCGAAAAATTTTGAAGCTAGAGCCGACATTTCCCGATTCCAGCCGCCGATTTTAAGTGCAATCGCAGCAGGAAGCCTCCGTCTTTTGATCAAATTTTGGCATTCGGTATCGAGAATTTTAGTTTCGGCTATCGAGTTATTTGAGGCACAGATAATGTTGAACAATTTTTTTACCGTGTATAGTGTTTTGAAAAATGAATTTACCAAACTTACATGGTCATTGAATGAAATTGGAGAAAATTAGCTCTACCGTCCGTTTGGAAAAAATGAAAATGAAAATAGTGAGTTGACTCTCCGAGGCTGATGTACCTATTTTGTTGATGCTACAACAAGAGGTAGCCTCATAGCTTCTTCCGCAACTGGTTGGCCTTTTACTCCCACACATTTTAGAACGAACTAATTAACAATGTGAATTGTTACTTAGCAAGTCAGTAAGTACCCTAATTTCTAAAATGGGTTTGTAAAATCCACTTCTCGTGGAAAAAGAAAAGGAGAGTTTTTTTTTCCTCGGCTGGGTAGTTGACCTTTGTTAATACATTGGGATTTTTGCCTAATAAGCATGACTCTCCTCGAAAAGTCTATACGTTTTTTAATTGAAGTGTTGAGAGGTAGCAAGATTTAAATGTATCATTGAATGTTTCAAAATTGCATCTGACGGCTTACTTTTTCATTTATCAATGGCTGAGTTGCAGTCACCGATCGCCGGCATGCTTGTTTTCTCGTCATGTTGCAACAAATGCACATCGGCATTGTATAGGTGTCTTTGGTAAAGCAAACTTCAGAGGACCAATCCACTTTTTGATTGGTTCACAAGCTTTAGGTTATTATTATGCCCTTGCAACCGTAAATAAACGAACGATCCTATTGGTCGAGAGGATTCAAAAACGTGTGCCAAGGATTTAATGAAAAATTATTCCAGATATATCGTTACCAACCCTCTCTTTCTGAATCAACCTTCATAGTATTCTTCGAATTATCATGTTAGTATTCCTAGAGTTTTTCTTCATTTGATAATTAAATTCTTTATCAGAAATTTAACGATTTTCATTGATTTCTCCTAGAGGGGATGCAATAGTTGTGCCGAAGTCTCAATTTCGTTTCTTAAGATACTTACGTAGCGCCGCAAGCTCACCGAATCAGCCTATTTTTGGCGACCAATGAAAAACCGGTACACAAATGGCTATGTATGTACTCTAACTGGTATTATGCATTAAAGAAGAATAATATCTGTCTGAGCATCAATTCGAATAGACTTTAATCCGCCGGCAATTCCTAATTGCTTGTGATGGATGTATGTCTCGTATTTACAATTGTCGAGGATGCTCGTCAAACATAGGAAATAATTCGAAAGAAATCTCGGAGGAATATTTTTGACTTTTTTTAATATAATAACTTCTTTCCATCCGAAACTTCGCAACGTTGTAATGGAATTAAGCCCTTCTGGTTCTTATACCACTTGAATGATTGAATGGCACTCGCAGTGAATTTAACTCAAAGTCCGCGGAACTGCAGAATACGCGTCGGATTTCATCGGCGGTCGATTCGCTTGCCAGCGATGGTCGGTGAGCACTTGAGCAGGCGAAGTATGTAGAAACTGCAGCTACTGATCCTGGGTGTCAGGTCGTAGCAGACCGGATTCCCTCGGTTTCACGTTACATCCTTGGATAGCAAGTCCTGACCTCTCACCAGAAGCTTCTGCTTTACCGAGTGCTCCCTCGTTGCAAGTATGAGGTAACTCCAAGAGGGTCAGACTTCTGGCCACTCATGAGGCCTTAGAAAATGAGAGGGTATTGTTTATTGCACTGAAAAAGAAAAAAAAAAACACACACACATTGGATCTAGAGTCCAGACTCTTAAAAACATCGACAAGAAAAAGTACTCTTGATTCAATCAGAATCTAGCCTGTATCAAGAACCAAGCCTCTTAATTTAAGCGGATTTCGTTTTGATTCAAGCAAAAATCCGATTGAATCAAGAGTATTTTTTCTTGTCAATGTTTTCAAGAGTCTGGACTCTAGATCCAATGTGTTTTTTTTCAGTGTGGTGTTATTTTTTCGTTATTCACAAATCGTCGTTCCCCAGACGAAAGAACGTAACTTGATTCCACGGTTGCGAAATTTACTCAAACAATTTAATTTTCAACGAGATTATGCAAGCGCAATTTTTGTCTAAAATTTGTCTGATTTTCACACGAGACTGACAGGAAAATCGGTGAAATTTTCAATTAGAGATGCCCAAGATTCTTCCGGTAAAAATGCAGTTCGCAAAAGGAAATTTGGCAGCATTGAAGTGTAGTTACGTTTGATGGTTAATGATGAGATGTAATTACAAATGAGGGCACATCCATTAAGATGGAATAAAGTAGATCTTAGCTAGAGACACACCAAACATGCTGTCTTTTCAAAACGTCTTTCAATTAATTATTCGCACGCGACGCAAAGCTCAAACATTAACTCGTGAAGGAGGTACGTACAATCATTTTTAACACAGATAAAATGGAAGCTAGATCATACGTATACGATTTACGAGTAATTGGCGTAAATTGTAAACACTCATTTTTTTATAAGATTGAGGTGGTAAACCAGTCCAGTCCCAAATTTTTCGGATATTTTAATTGCAATCTAATATTAAGTGTTTAAGAGTCTCAAGAATTTATATTGATAACTTTCCTCAAACTGTATATTTTATCAGAGGAAATTAGTTCATACGGCATAATTCCTCAGTTTTGCGGTAAAAGGTACATGATTAATCTCGAGTTATTAGTGGGAAAGTTGAACGAAATGGGAACATGGACGGAAATATGGTTTATTCAATTCAACGTATTTCCGTAAATGTGCATCAAGACATGGGCCCTATGAGACCCATAAGAATATATGCATAACAGAGCTCATGTCATAATGCGCATAGTTTCGTTTGGCAGGAATACGTACAATTCAGATGAATATCCGAAAAGTCAAATTCAAATGTCATTCTATCATATGGGGCATATTGGATGCGATGAGTTAGGTGAAAGTGAAATTTCCGTAAAATTTGCCAACGCGGACCGCGACAGCTCAACTTCCGAGCGATCAGTCAATGCGAAAAGTGATCGCACATGGTAACGACCAGTTTAATAACAGCAAACGCCAATAATTTACCGTCTGGAAAAGAAACCGGAAATTTCCGGCACTGACGCCGGCGGGATGAAACGGCGAAGTTGACAGACCGCGGTCTAAAATAAATTTCTCCTCGCGATATGAATTTACTTGATTTATATGCACTATATTGCAACGGATGCCTTCACCTGTTGATCATGTTATCGATCGCTGGCAACGAATGAGAGAAGTCGTTGCCATTCTGATACATTCTGCTGTTCCTTTAACGCCCGATAAAAATTAACTTTTTTTTTCAAAATATATGTCTATCCTTTCAAAACTCGTCTAAATCCTTTTAATAACAATGACTATTGAAACATTATTTTTTAAAAAAGACAGAAAAAAAACTTGTAATTTTTTTAAAAACAGTTGAAATTTAAATTTTATTAAAAGAAAATCTTGAGCGTTTCTTTAAAGTGAAGTTACAAGATGTAAGGTTTAATAAAAGAAGCATGGAAAAGAATATAGAAGAAGAAATAAGAATATATTATATAGAATAAGAAAGATCAGTTGTTACTATTTTAACTTTTAAAATGTTTTAAACAACTTTTTTATTTAAAAAAAAACTCTAAAAATATGGTCAAGTTCTTCCAAATTATTTGAACAAAAACTGGACGTAAATTTTCCTTTAAAATGTTCAAAGAGGGTTTCCTAAAACTTTATTTTAAACATATGTTTCGTTGCACGTAGCAGTTAAAGTACTTTCTATTTCTTTAGGTTTATCATATATTTCAAAACTTGGCAACATAGTAAAGGATTTCGCTGGTCACAAATTGAACCGCTTCTATTGCACGCGATGAATCCGATCAACCTCGAAGAGTTG